TTTATTTTATTTCTTTTTCTTTATACAAACTATATCATCAGTCCATGATAGGTTGTCATTTTATGCCATTTTTTTTGAAGCTCTGTGTGAGAAGACATGTTTTAATTAAACTGAAGTTTATGTCTCAGGATGTGTTGAGTTTATGTTGATAGGCTATCCTAACACAACTCTAGGCAGTTTATTCAGATGCTATATGATTTCTTTAGTTGTCATTGGAGGACAGGAGAGTGATAATTTCATACTTCATTGTAACACAGAACATTAATATAGAATATCTTTTGTAATATCTCCAAATGTGTTAAAGAAAACCTGCATTGATATGCTTAGAAAATAAGTAACATTGACTCAAGCAGAAGGATAAACATAAATATTTCTTCCCTGTGTAGATTTTTGCCTAATAGTTTGTTTTTTTTTCTAGGTTCAACAGATAGATCGTGTGGTAGAAGTTGTGGAGGAAACAATTAAAGGTAATTGTCAACAGTGAGAAGAGCAGATGTATGTATTTTCTAAACTACATTATAAAAATACTCAACACTGAGCATCTTTATAAAGTTACAGTTTTAGATATAAAATCATAAAATGTTTTTTCAAACTATACTTCAATCCCATCTTGGAGAATCTAGAAGTACTAGCATTTATTGTGTACTTAGAGTGTGACAGGCACTATGCTAAGTACTTCATGAGGGTTAAGTCAAGTCGATACAGATATTTTTCTCATTTTGCATATGAGAGGGTTGAGACCCAGGGGCAGCTAATAAGTTACATAGTTGGGATTTGAATCCATGCAATCTGGCACCAAAGCCTGTACTTTTGCATTATACTGAGACCCACACTATATTATGATCTCTCTGTTCTCTCCCAGTTGAGATTCACTGCTTTAAAGGTTGTTTGAGCTTCTTAAGCAATGCTTCAAGAAGCTTCAGGGTATTGTTGCCTTCTTCATCTTGTGTTTTGAGTATCAGATACATACTGGTCACCCAATTTTTTAAAAAAAATTAATGGTAATGAAGATAACATGGGAGAAAATCTAGGCGGCCATAGGTATGATGATGACTTTTTAGATACAATTTCAAAAATATCTTTGAAAGTAATAAGTGATAAGTTGGATCTCATTAAAATGAAAAACTTTGGCTCAGAAGACCATGTCAAGAGAATGAGAAGACAAGCCACAGAGTGGGAGAAAATATTTGTGAAAGACATCTGATAAAGGGCTATTATCAAAAATACATGAAGAACTCTTAAAACTCAAAAATGAAAAACTCGCTTAAAAAATAGGCAAAAGACCTGAACACTTCACCAAAGAAGATACACAGATGGCAAATAAGCATATAAAAAGATGTTCAGCGTCATATGTCATTAGTGAATTGCAAATGAAAGCAACAATAACATACCATTATGTACTTAGTACAATACCCCAAATCCAAAACATCGACAACACCAAATTCCGGCAAGGATGTGGAGCAACAGGAACTCTCTCATTCCTTGCTGGTGGGAATGCAAAATGGTACAACCACTTTGGAAAACAGCTTCATAGTTTCTAACCAAACTAAACATAGTCTTACCAAATAGTGCACCAGTTGTGCTCCTTGATATTTATCCAAATGAGTTGAAAACTTACGTCTACATTAAAATCTACACATGATGTTTTAGTAGCTTTATTCATAATTGCCAAAACTTAGAAGCAACAAAGTCCTTCAGTAAATGAATGGGTAAATACACTGCAGTACATCCAAACAATGGAATATTATTTAGCATTAAAAAAAAGAGCTATCAAGCCACGAAAAGACGTAGACTTTAAATGCATATTACGAAGCAATAAGCCAATCTGAGAAGGCTACACACTGTATGATAGCAACTATATGAGGTTGTGGAAAAGGTAAAATATGGAGACAGTGAAACGATCAGTGGTTGCCAGAGGTTAGGGCGAAGGGAATGGTAAATAGGCAGAGCACAGAAGATAGTTAGGACTGTATGATACTGTAATGGCAAATACATGTCATTATACATTTGTCTAAACCTTTAGAATGCAGAACACCAATAGTGAACCCTAATGTACACTGTGGACTCTGGGTGCTAATGGCGTGTCAGTGCAGGTTCATTGATTATATCAAATGTGCTACAGGATGTTGATAGTGCAAGGGGCTCTGTGTGTTTCGGTGGGGAGGAGCAGTGGTATGTGGAAACTCTGTTCTTCTCAATTTTGCTGTGAATCTGAAACTCCTCTAAAAAATAAAATCTATTAAAAATATTAATGGTAGTCAACAGTGTGCTGAGGAGTTTCCCAAATGGCTTGGAGAGATATAATTTCTATAGGAAATCATAGAAAACCTGTCACCCCCAGGCTGGGTTAATTAGGGATGGCTTCTTACTCATGAGTTTGTACTGGAGTGAATTTATTGGAGAGACTGTGTTTGGATTTAGTTGTGAGAGTGAGATGAAGATGGATGAAGTTGATGGGGGTGTTCATTGGTGGGTTTGGTTTGAGGATAGGAAGGCTGATGAATTAAGTCTTGGTAATGCAACAGGTGAAGTTTTGAGATAGAAGGAATGATTTTGAGCTGTCCTTAGTGTGCAGATAAGGAAGCCAATCTATGAAGGAATTAATGACTCCTCTGAGATCTCTTGGTTGATGGAGAACTGTGCCTGCCAGTGAATACCTGTTCTTCACTTTCTAGTTCTACTGCTAATTCTTCATTTAGACAGCATGTGTCAGTGAAATAATTTGGCTTTCGTGGCAGTTAACCAGTTGTTGGTTGTCTGTCAGCAAGTTATTTTTCTGAGGCTCAGCTTTCTCACCATAAAATGGAGAGGATTAAATAGATAAGACTTTTGTGGTACCCAAAATATATTAGGAGATCAGTTCATGTTAATACCTCTTAATACCTGGACTGTTGGTATAATCTAACTGATCTTTGCCATCAGTGACTCTCCTTTCAATCTGACTACATACACTACTACCATTAACCTGGGATTATTTTACTCTCCTGCATGTACACCCTGACTGTTTGCCTGTTATTCACCAGATTAGTTTGGGACCTCTTAGTGTGATCTTAATTGCCTTCTACTCCATTCTGCCATTTTCACTTTTTCTTTCATTAATGCCATACATATTCCCTTTGCTTCAGCCAACAGTGCTATTTGATGTTTCTTGTATATTATTTTCAGTTTGCTTTACATGCATTTTTTGGTCCTCCACAGAAGTGGGTATCTTCTGTTTGACCCTCCACATCCGCTTTCCATCTTGATGTGTGTGCATGGAGGCTGACCTGTATGGATTGCATCAGTAGGATCCTTGCGATTTGGTGTCCAGTTGGATTCAGCCAGTTGGAGGTTGGAGGGTGTGACAAGAGAGAAAGATGGAATATTCATTCTCTTCTCTCCCTCCCTCCCTGCTTGTTTTGGGTTGGCTGCTTTCCTTACCTGAAAGCCAAGTGCTTGTCTGGTAACCCTCTCTATTCATCTCTTTCACCAGGTTCCTGTAACCGTTCTCTTCCTTTGCCTCTGGGTTGGAAACAGTGCCCTGTTGTTCTCTGCCTTAGAGTATTGCATTGCATTATCTCTTGTTGGTTTTCCTAACCCTGCCCAAACTTTAGTAAATAGTTCCTTTGTGAAAATTTCTTAAGTTATGCAGTGTGCCATCTGCTATGCTGGTACCCTGATTGATAAGAATTTAGCCATGGAGAAGCAAGGCTCTATCCAGAAGGACCAGATGGAATACAGCCTTAGAAGAGAATTTTGCTATAACTGTCTTGTTTCCACATTTGATGACTGATGGGCTCTCTTCATATCTCTTCCTTGAGGAAGCTTTGGACATACAGCCTCTGCCACAGCCTGTTTGCATTCTTACTGCTGCTTATATTACACCAAGTAATATTTAAAATACTTTAATATTTTAAAATAAGGTACATTGCTATTGACAGCATTTAAATCTATTGTAGTTAACATAAAACCATACAAAACATGTTTTCATTTGTATCTGTCTTGATTGTATCAAAATGGCAAATTCTAAGTTATTCTGAATGAATCCTCATTGTTTCAATAGTAGCCTGAAAATTCTGTCCATTTATAGTTTTTGCTTTAGAAGATAACACATTATAATGAATTTAGGATCTTTTCCTGTATCATTTTGGTAATTTAACAAGATATGTAATTGAATCTAAGGGAAGAAACACAACGTCTAAAGGATTCACATTCATTTCTTTCTTTTAAAAGAAAAGGTCATTAAAAACTTTTTTTGTCTGAAAGATCTGAAAGGAATAGAAATCTGCATTTCTTCCAAAGTGTACGTGAAGTCCTCTAAACAACAACAACAAAATCATTAAAAGTAATCTCGTCTGTGTAAAAGGATAGTTTAATTGACTAATTTATGACAAATGAATGCAAGTAAATATATCCTATTGAAATTAGAAAAGAGTTTTTACCATTAAGCCATAATTCTTCCCCATTGAACTACTGTTAGATGAGTTCCCTGTTATTATTATTATGTTTGTTGGCGTTTCATTCAGTCTAATAACAAATGCCTCAAATGGTGATAATTCAGCATTTTCCTATCCCAATATGGTATAATCTGCAAGTTTAATTGATTTTCTGAGTAATTGATGCCATCTTGGATTAGACTGACCTAAATTCCCAGGGTACTTTACCAAAAGCTTTCTTATTTAAGACATTGCTGTTAATCTTCGCTATGTCAGGTTTTGTACTTTGCATGTGATACTTGTTCAGAGCATAAACTCTTTATAAATTGAGACCGGAAGGCAGAACTATATCAAGTGTGGTTTATCAGTGTTAATGAATGAGTAATCGCCCTACAGAATCAAATGCAGATTTATTTGAGGATGTTTTCCTAACTTAATGAATAAGTGATTGAGCTTGAATATGTAGCATGGTACTTCTGGGACAATATTGGACCACAGAAGCACACCTATTTCTTCAGTATTTGCTTTTTAATATAATAATTTTTATTGATTTTTAATATAGGCTGTGAAAGAACACTTCTATGCATTCTCTTACGTGTAATCTCTGATACAATTACTATTGTCTGGACATAGTGGAAAAGTTTGTATGTTGGTTTTACATGTTAGGAATACTTTCCTAACATGTAAGTAAATAGGTGATAACTTCTACCTTTTAGTAATACAAAGAACCAGGAATTTATTATTGTTATTTATTTAGTTTTTTGCAGTGAGCCTGTTTAAGTTTATGCACTATGTGAATAAGTGATTACAATTTGGTAACCATTGCGTTTTGCCCCTGCCTTTAATACACTTTATCTCCTTTGCTATCTTCTTTCCTTTCTGTACCCTCCTTTAGTTCCCCCAAATTAATAATAAGATTCTAGCTTTACTTATTTGTCTTCTGTATGTCTACATACATTATTTCTAGAATGAACTTCTTTTTATTCATTGTGTCTCCTTTAGGTAGCATTTTTTAAATCATAAAATATTTTTAACAATAAGAGCAGGCAAAT